CCCCACCAACAAAAAGTCTCAGTGAGACTCAGGCATGGTGATTCATTCCTATAATCCTAGTCCGTGAGAGGTGGAGGCAGGAAGATCAGGAGGTCAAAGCCAGCCTGAGTTACACGAGACCCTGTCTCAAAACCCAAACAAACAAACAAACTCTCAATGAATTCATAATGTATGAAAAGAAGTTCAAAGTTCTTCGTGGCATACAAGCCTTTAAGATCTGATGCCACTCAACTTTATACCTTGGTTCCAAGCTGAAAGAAATCCCAAGGAAACCCTCCCTTCCAGGATCAGGTTGCATCAACATCCAAGCTGTCTTGTGTGACACTGTTTCTGGGGAGACATTATTAAGATGTATCTACTTATCCCAGCAAGGGAATCATAGACAGACTAAACAAAGTCCAGCATGGTGAACCAATGAGTTTATTGGGGTTACTGACAGAAATATGGATGAGGGGTACTTACAGGGGCAGACACGACTCAATGACAGCTACATCACCAAAAACTACCCCAGCATGGTGACGACTCATGAAAGGTAGAACCCTGGAACTCACTGTGGATTTTCAGACAGCCCCAGATCAGACTGTCTCCTCTCTTCAGCAGTCCTTACTGCTTATATAACCTGGAGGACAGAGGGACTTCCTGAGACTTGTGAATTGCTTACTTCTTTTAAAGGAACTTCCCTTTAGAATTTCCTGAGTCTTTAAAAAAATTTTATTTTTTGTCTTTTTGAGACAGGGTCTCCCTGTAGCCCCACCTAGCCTGGAACTCACTACATAGACCAGGCTGGCCTCAGTCTCACAGAGATGTGCCTGCCTCTGCCTCCCGAGTGCTGGGATTAAAGGCAGAACTTCCCAAGTCCTAATGCATTTCTCTCCATGACAGTATGTGGCAATTCTGAACTGGTCACAACACCTCTGAATCTACCCCTGGAACTCTTGCCTCTGTACCAGCAACTGTGACCTTTGTTGAAAACTTATCTCATCAGTGTTACTCAATATTCCCTTATCTTCATTCATTACAAGTAACCAGACTAGGCTCCCAGAAATCTTTTTCCTCAGACATATTAGAAAGCCCTGCCTTTTTTCACTGGCGTTTGAAAGGTGTTGTAATGTGATTCTTAAAGCTGCTGGCATCATTTTTGGTGCCCTTGTGATAAAGTCTATTTTGATATGATTTGGGAGATATTACTACTTATATTCCATAGTATCCTCAGAATTTTACAAGAAGGAACGTCTACATTTTAGCCAAGTACGTACAGACGCAGAAGACTACCTCTCCTAGCCTCCCTTGCAGCTATGGATAATCATGCAGCTTACATAAGGCCAATGATATATACACAAGTGATATATACATGAAAGTGATATATACATATCTTATAGGAAAAGTTTATAACCTCCTGTTCCCCTTCTCTTCATGATGGCCAAGATATGGACGTGAAAGAAACCATCTTGGACCATGTGGAACCACTTAATTAACAACCAAAGGATAAGAGCAGAAAATAATCCCTGTTTGGGTGACTTTGTAGATCAGCATCCAAATACCAATAAACTTCTATATGAGAAACTTATTTCAACAACTGTAGAATTACTTTACAAATGCAAGCACACCTAAACTCTAATAAATGCATAAAGGGAGAAAAAGCATTGCTCTTTATCTTCTTATATTCCAAGAATTCAAATCCAAGCAGATGTCTATCTTATGTTATCAGACTTCAGAATTTCAAAAACCACTCAACTGTCTTTTAAAGCTTTTTTAGGGACTGAGAAAAGCTGCAAGTGTTTTACATCGAAAATGAAAGCACATTTAGGGCTGGAGTGACCGCTCAGCAGTCAAGAGCACTGGCTTCTCTTGCAGAGGACCCAGGTTCAATTTCCAGCATCGACATGGCTGATAACAACTGTCCATAACTCCAGTTCCAGAGGATATGATGCATTTTTCTGACCTCCACAGGCACTGAATGACATAGGTGAACTTACATGTAGGCAATACACTCAGACACATTAAACATAAGAAATTTTGCAAATCATTTTTTTTTCCATTTCAACACAACTGGTAAGAATGACACCAGGGAAACTACTGGCTTCTGATTTGCTGTGAGTAGCAAATTCATTATAATTTTCTACTGTTACCTTAAACAGATTATTTTTGCTTAAACGTCTTTCCAATGACCTATTTTCCTGCTTATTATGAAAATTTTTACTATTTATAATACACAGCCACAATATAAACAGAATGAAACACTTGTTACATATTTTGCCTTAAGATCTAATACATACGTGGCCTTCTTGGGTGATAATCCTATCACATTTAGAGTGCTTAATTTTCAAAGTTTATATATAAGCTCATTTTTATTTCTTTTAAATCATTTACATTTAATAATTATCATGAATAAATCCAGATTTTAGCCATGTTAACTTTGCCTCTGCTCTGAGGCTGCCATTAATTTTCACATCTTGAGATGGTGAAAGTATATTATTTCTTTAAGACTAACACAATGATGCTGTTTACTCAAATACTTGAGCTGTGTTTTTGTGAAGAGTACTAATTCTTCTTTGTAATTTTATGTTTTTAGAGACAGGGTCTTACTATGTAGCACTGCCTGGCCTAGAACTAGCTGTGCAGACTAGGCTAGCCTCAAACTCAGAGATTGCCTGCTCTGCTTCCCTATTGCTAGGAGTAAAGACCTGTGCCATTATACCCAGCTGTGAAGGTGTTAGTTCTTACCCTGGATGTAGGTGTCATGAATGAAACTTGTGAATTTCACAATGAGACTGTAAAAATACGAAAATGTGAATTTTCTGGGGAATGATTCAAAAGCTCTCCTATCCTCAATTATGAGCTAGGTACCAAAAGAAAACAAAAACCACTATTCAACCAGCAGAGACAGAACGTAACTATCTTGTTTACTCCTAAATCCAAATTCAAACAAATTATTTGCTAAATCAATCTCCTATCCTTTTGAAAACGCCAATGCCATTCTTGTTTTGTCCTATTTTTGGTTTTTTGAGATGGGATCTCACTATGTAGCACAGGCTGCCCTGGGAAACTTGTAATCCTCCTGCCCCTGCCTCCTTAGTGCTGGGATAAGACTGGCTTCCGCATAAAAGCATTTGAGGTAAAGGTTCTCAGAATTTCAGACCACAGGCACACAGATACTAAAGGTAATAGAGGTGATTCTAAATCTTACAAATGGTAGCCCTGGAAATGATACCATATTGCCCATTTGCTAAAAGATGTGATTAACTGGAAAACTCAGCAAGGGAAGCTTCTTGTCAGAGGAATTCAATACTGCTCCTTGTATCATTGAACAAGTAGGTTTTTATAGTTAGGAGATTACTAAAGTAGAAAGTCAGGAAACCTGGGGGTTTAGAACCAGTTTTATTTGTAACTAACAACATACAAATTGTCTATAAAATAATAACATCTACTCACTAATTCACAACTATATCACAAAATTAAACTCCTTCCCAAGAAAATAACATTGTAAGCCAAGATATCACTAATATTCAGCCTAAGCTTTAACTCAAGGGTTGAAAATGACAAATTTCAGAATTTGTCTTTTATATAGACCTTATTGTACAAATGAGTAATCTGGTTGACATAAGGACTGACATAAGGACATAAGTTTCCACCTTACAAAACAAAAAGCTATCAACAGAAATTAATGAAAAGTTGGCCCCCAAACCCCAAGAAATTGCTAAGAGCAGTGCTTTTAACACTCCTGATATAAATGAACAGAATTTAGATTTAGACCACTAAAGCCTGATTACCCTTTAGAAGAGTCAAGAATCTTCAACAGAAATACTGTTGAGCTGAATGTTACAGACTCTTCAAAACCCAATCAAAATGATGAGTGACACACTATCTGTGGGATTCTGTTTTGCTTTATCTTTCCTTTTTTTTTTCATTCAAGAAGTCATTCCCCATCATGGACCAGATTCTTCTGCCTAGAGTGTAAAAAAAAAAAAAAAAAGCTAGCACTACAAATTAAAGAATTTCCATGTTATTAAAAGACTCAGGAATTCTAAGAGGGCATAGAAAACTTTATACACCATAAACATCAGTATATGTACACCATTTATCATGTTTATGAATTTTGAAACCATATGTATTAATAAACCTTCAAAAAATAAGCACCTATAATGTAACAATGTCAGTTTTATGTGATTTACTATTTCTGGAAGTTCCCTTAACATATGGTGACAGAAAGAGAAACTGGAGTACAGTTCACAAAGGAACACAAACTAGACACAGATGCAATAATGAAATGCCATGTATATTGCGGGAATAATTCTGAAGAAATATGCTTCCACTATTGGCCCCAAATGCCATCATCCACTTATGCTCCTTAACTGTCTACTTTTAATACAAAAATATCTTCAAGCTGATAATCAAGAACATTTACAGTGACTTACAAAACTGACAGTATTTCAATACTACACAAAACAATTCTATACACAGCTTAAAGTTTTAAAGTTCTTTGCGGGCACTTTAGCTGATAGACACGGTTAACTACTGACCTCAATAAAATACTGCTTTTAGCTTAAGTATTTTCAAAACCAGTATCACCTCACAAAAATTAAAGAATAAATCACTTTCTGCTGATGAAACCTCTAAGATGACTACCAAAACTACATAGCCAAGAAATTTTAGGGAAGTAAACAAACCTTTTATGACAATATATGACTAGTGAAGAAAAATTTACATCATTCAATTATATGTCCAGTGAAGAAAAGTGTTGTTCCTCCGAGTTAACGAAGCATTTAACAGGTACAAATAGAAACTGAATTTACAAAGCAAATTACCTTTTTCATTTTTTGGTTTAGAGTGGTGGTTTAGAACTGAATTTTTCAAAGATAATAGGTCACATGCACATCCTTTAATTCTAAAAAAACTGAAATCCCTTTAAAACAGTGGAATCCTGATTTTTTTTTTTTGGTCTTTTTGAGACAGGGTCTCCCTGTAGCCCCAGCTGTCCTGGAACTCACTATGTAGACCAGGCTGGCCTTGAACTCACAGGGATCTGCCTACCTCTGCCTCCCAAGACCTGGAATTACAGGTGTGTGCCACCACGCCCGCTGGAATCCTGATTTTTTAAAGTTACCTTGTAAGTATACAGAGCACATAATCAAAATGAAATCACTATTTAGTAACCACAGTAACAGTTTTCCTTGCAGAAAGAAAGCATACTAAATTTTAACTATAACTTAGGATACTAAAACCTGACTCAAAAATGTAGTCTACTTTCATTATTCTAAAGGAAAATGTTAACAGCTTCAAAAACTCAACAATTTCCAGTAGTTTTTCTATTAACAAATTACAAGTTAAATTATTCGTGGCATGAAACAAAATAACACAATATAAAACTAAGTTAGGAAAATCAAAATATAAACATACTAATTAACAGCAACAACAAAATCCACCAAAATCCCTAATCAATTTAATTCACCTATGCATATTTTAATCATGGACTTTTAACACAGTAAATTATTTAAATAAGTTGATTTTAGGGTTTGTATAAATTTTGTGCATTGAATTAATACTTAAAATCACTACCCCTTCCTAAGCTGAATCTCCAGTCCTAATCATTTTTTTTCTTTCAGGAAAAAGGGTATCATTTTAAGATACATTCCATGTAACAGTGGCAACAGGTTACTGTTTCAAAATATTTACAAAGAACTCTACTGATCTGGTGCACTTCGCTGGGGTGCAACCTGCACCCACACTTCATCATCAGAAAAAGAACTTGAACTTCCTGACTCAGAGTCCAGTTCACTGAACCCATCTAAGTCCCATTCAGTACTAGACTCACTCCTTGCATCATCTTCCTCAGTGATGAAACTCTGACCAGGTTCAAGGCAGGAAGGATAAACTCGAGCACACAGGCAAATAAAGCCAGAGTCAAACTGCAAAAGCCCTAACATAGTACCGATATTAATCCACTGGTCTTCCCTAGTGTCGTATTCATAGACTGTCACACGGTTCTTTTTCCACTGTGGAGTGGTAGAAGTGATGAGCAGTAGCTTTTGGTCATGATTGACAATCTGGTAGTTGTGAGTTTCCGAGTCCAAAGGAATATTACTAATCCGTCTCCATTCTCCTCTAGCTGGGTTGTAGACCTTCATGACTGGGATGTCACAGATACAGTAGATTTCATCTTTGAAGACACAGGCTTCCTGAAAGTCACTTCGTTTAAGGGACGCACAGTTCAGCCACATATTATGGCCAGGGTCATAGCAGAGCATGCGCTTACTGTTGACAGCATAAAGATAGTTCTGAACCACTATTAGTTCAAAGGAATAAAAAGAATGCGGTACGGGAGCCACCAACGCCCACTGGTTCCTCTGAACACTGTAGCATTCCACTTCCTTCAATTTAACACCAGTGACAGGGTCTCGCCCACCCAGAATGTAAATGTGGCCATTCAGGTACGCCACATCCATGCCCTCCCGACACAGCAAGCGATCTGCCAGTTGGTGCCAACTATTTTGGGCTGGTTTATACACCCAAAGGTCTTTCCTGGGCTGCGCAGCAAGATAGATGTCCTGGTCTGGAGAGACACAGACAGCTGAGGAGGTGATGGTCTTGGTGTGAGCCAAGCTGGTCAAAGGTGAGGGCATTGTGTAAATGTCTCCCGAGTATGGGTCATAGCAGAGAAAGGGATCTCTAGGGTGTCCAAAGAAGATTACCATCTCTTTGGCACACATGCCCAGCCTCTGGGGCGGATTTTCTGCTACAGATACAACAGAGCTACTGCCGTTGCCTCCGCTGCTACTGCAGCTGCTGCTGTTGCTACTGTTGCTATTTGGCTTAGACACCACAGACTTGTACAACCTGTCCCCATACCGCAGCTGCAGAACGGCCCCATCGATGACGTCCAGGCAGTACTTCTTCACGATGGGCTTGGTCAGCAGCCCCACCAGATAGTCCTGATCTTCGGCCCCAAAGTGTGCCCAGCGGACACACTTGAGGACTTCGGCCGCGCTAGGGCCCCGCTCTTTGGGCGCCGCCTCCAGCCACTGCAGTGCCACGTGGCACACCGTCTTCTCGCTCTCCACATCCAGGCTGTCCAGGCGCAGCACGGCCAGCAGCTGGGCCAGGGTCAGGTCGGCCAGGCTCTCCTCGCGAATGGAACCCATCCTGCTGAGCTGCTTGAAGTTGTGCGCGATGAAGGCCTGGGCCTGCGACCGCAGCTGGTGATGGTCGAAGGCGTCGGCGAACTTGAGGATGGCAGTGCAGTTGCTCAGGTCCAGGCGGCGCGCCAGGAACGAGGCACAGGCTTCGCGCACATACTCCAGCTGCAGCATGTCGGACGCCGCGTACAGGCGCTGCACGTTGGCCTCGCTCAGCGACACGCGGCCAGTGTAGCAGTAGTCCACCAGTACCTCGAAGGACTCGGCGTCCACGTCGTGCATCGTCACGTTGGCCTGCTGGCTCTCGTACATGCCGCCCGTGAACATGCTCTTGAAGTAGGGGCACGCCGCGGCCAGCACGTTGCGGTTGCAGTTGAACAGGCGGCCTGTGCCAGGCCCGCTGCCGGGCGTCACCACCTCGATGGTCACGTCGCACAGCAGCCGAGCATCGTAGAACGACTTGAGCTGGGCCAGGAGGGCGGCCGAGTGCGCCGTGTCCTTTAACTCCTCCGGGCCCGTGAAGAACGCCGACACCGAGGGCTTGGAGATCCGCTTGGGCCGCCTCCCGCCGCGGGGGCTGGAGAGGCGGCGGGTACGCGGGGCGTCCTCCCGGGACTGCATGGCGGAGATGACGGCGGAGCGCCGAGGGCGAGAACGGCTACAGGAGCCCGACTACTCCTCTCGCTTCCCTCGCCGACGCCAAAGCAGCGGCGTCCCAGAATGGGCTGCACTCGGGCTCGCAATTACTCCACTGGGCCTTCCGCCGAGGTGCCGCCTCCCTTTATCGCGTAGACAGTGCCTGACTCACCGTTTCCGTTCGCGCCCTTCCTCCCCTCAGCTCACCCTCACACGACCCAGACCACCAGCCGCGAAAGCTACAGCTGCAGCGCTGGCGAAGCTAGTAAGTTCCCGGTCGAACTATTGTTCCCAGGTTGCCTTTCGCGCCTCGATGCATGATGGGATCTCCAGGCTCGCAGGCCTGAACGAGTAACAGAAGCCGCTTTGCATTTTGGGAGTTGTAGTTTATATCGCTAAGTCGTTAATGTCTTGAAAGGAATTGTACTCAATTTGGTGATTGACTGGCCTTCACTGAGTTTGGTGGCGCTCGCCTTAATACCCAGTACTCAGGAGCCTGAGGCAGGCGGATCTCTGTGAGTTGGAGGCCACCCTGGTCTACTTATCGAGTTCTCGTTCCGCTAGGGCTGTATAATGAGAGGCCCTGTCTCAAAAAACAAAATACTGGCTTTCAAGAGTGGAAGTACATTTCTTTTCTTTGATTCTGTCATGTCCTAAAAACTTTCCTTTTGGTAAAAGTGGGGATAACAATAGTTCATTAGCTTGTGTGACGATTGAATGGTATGTACGATTACATAGTGTTGTAATTTTAAATTTTTTAAATTAAATTTTAAATATTTATGTGTATGAGTGTTTTGCCTGCACGTGTGTAAGTGCACCTGCGCCGTCCAATGCTCCTGGAGACCAAAAGAGGGCGTCAGATTCCCTGGAGCCGGAGTTACAGTTATTAGCTGCTATATGGGTTTTGGGAAATGAACCCGAGTCCTCTGCAAGAGCAGCCAGTGTGCCTAACCCCTGAGCAATCCCTCCAGTCCCTATAGTTGTAATTTTAATAGAATAATTAATAATGTGATAGACCACGGCTAGAATGGAAAGTTAGGAATTGCTTTTCCTTTTGAATTTATTAATACATCCACTAATTTGAAACCATGAGCCATAACAAAAACAAAACCTTGTAAATTTCTGCAAATAACTTCTAATTTTTTCCTTTGCTACTTTTGAAAGTTTCTAAAAGCATCAATATTTTCAATACTAATGAAGATCAGTGGGTTCATTAGATAGTCTTAGACAACTAATTTGAGGTCCTAAGACCATTTATAGATGGCCTCAAATCTGTAAATCAGGCATATAAAAACAGGTAGTTTGGGTCTCTGTAATAGGAAATGTTCCCCATAAGGCTTATGTACTGATGAGTCTGGTTGCAAGCTGATGGCCTTTTGAGGAGCAACTGGGTCCTGAGAGGTCAGGACTGATCAATTGATTAATCCTTTTTATGAAGATTTACTTTCTAGTTTTTTTTTTTTTTTTTTTTTTTTTTTTTTTTTTTTTTTTTTTTTAGTGTGTGTGCATGAGTGCCTGCCTCTGCACGTGTGTGATGGTGAGATGACTTGAGAAAATCTATATTCTCCTTCCACCATGGGTTCTTGGGATTGGGGATTAAACTCAGGTTGTTAGAGTTGGCAGCAGGCACCATTACCAGCTGAGCTATGTCATCTACCCTTCCGTGAATTTTAAATGTGAGAAATTTGGAGCTGATAACAATGAAATGCAATAGAGAAAGTCTTTTAAGCAAATGGTTTTGAAACAACCAGATCAGAATGTAAAACAAAAATTAACCTTCAGGGGCTAGAGTGATGGCTCAGCGGTTAAGATCTGTGCAATTAAGACTATTCTTGCAGAGGACCTGGGTTTGGTTTCCAGCACCCACATGTTGGCTAATAAACCAGTAAGTCCAGTTCCAGGGGATCTGATGTCCTCTTCAGACCTCCGTGGACCTTGCATCGCATGGGTGCACTTACATACATGACTGCAATGCACTCATGGAAAACTGATGATGCAGAGACCCAAAAGTTCAGTGCCTTGCCACAATAGGAGGAAGACCATCCCATACCTACCACCTGCTCTAAGGCTCAGGGATTTTGCAGAAGAGGTTGGTGGAAAGAATGTAAGAGCCAGAGGAAGGGGTAGAGTGTTAACTGGAAGTGTACTTCAACCACTATGCTGGCAAGCAATAGTCACACCTCCTTCCTATGTTGATCAAGGAGTCAAGGTGGGAGTCAGTTCCCCTCCCAACCAATCAGTCCATCTTAGCTGCTTGTGCAGGAGGGGCTAAGGATATATAAGAGAATGCCAGAAGGCACCTCTCTTACCATTTTCTGTGGCTGTTGGGTAGTCGCAGGATCTATATTTGAGTGTGGATTTTCCAGTGCAGCCATAAATGGGGGGTGCCCACTCCTCTGTATAAATAAACCCCCACCCTATGCTCTGTTAAAAAAAAAAGAAGATAGTAGGTGTTTGGATAGATAGATGAGCGTGATCTGACTAGATGGCAAGAGGATGGACTTGCACTGGGGAATGTCTGGGGACACTGACTTGACACAGTGGGCCTTAACACCTAGGACAGAGTATATGGGTTCCAGTGGGGGGAAGGGCTATGGGAGGAGTCTGGTGGGGACTGGCTATAAAGATGATTCAGATTGTTTGTGATATTCTGTATGAAATACAACAAAATTTAAGAAAAACAAATTTTAAAAATATTGAAAAAAATAACTTTGACCCTTAAATTCTAAGCAAAAATTAATTCAACAGCTCAGCAAAGTGTCATGTGCCTTTAATCCCAGCACTCTGGAGGCAGAGGCAGGTGGATCTCTTTGAGTTCCAGGCCAGCCTGGTCTACATAGGTCTACACAGTGAGTTCCAGGTCAGCAGGGACTATGTAGTGAGGTCCTGTTTCAAAACAAACAAACAAACAAAAAAGGCTGAAAATTAAATGAGTATTGAGTATCTTCCAAAATCCCAAGTTTCTGCTGATCAAAAGTGGTGAAAATAAAAAGGTAAGCAGTAGTCCAGAGAAAATACTGGTAATATGTAGACCTGATGGCAAATAAGCATGTGAAGAGATGCCAGTGTCATCATCAGGTGTATGCGAATCAAATTCATAGTGAGGAACCACCACACACTAGAATGTCTAAATCTAAAAGGATAAGCAGAACTAAATGTCAGTGAAGTTATTAATGCCATTGGAATCCTTATATATTGATATTATTTCTAAGTTGGTATGACTACTGATAGGTAGAGAATGGGCGGGAGTGAGCGGCGCAGATGGAGGAGGCACGAGCGGATGGATGAGGCACGGACGGTCAGATGGAATCCTCAGTGGGACACAGATTTATTTCGCA